ACTTAGTTATGCTGACCCTTATCACTGGGTTTTCTGGGTCTGAGAGTGTGTGACTCACCCACTTTGTGTCACCCAGTGGGTTTTGATGGCCAAGCAGGGAATTGAACCCTGATCTTGAGTCATAATCCAGTACTTAAACTACTACACCACACTGCCTCTAATGGCAGTTTATGTGGTATAAAAGTGCTATAATGGTGTAGTGTGAAAGAAACAGAAGGACTGAAATCTGATTCTAGGCCTTGTTAAAATGTAAGCAACTGGTACAGAGCGAAAAAGTTGGGATGATCAACAAGTGCTTCAAGAAGAATTATGTAACTGGGCAATATCTAGACCTGCTGCAATATCCTTCTGTGGAGTCACTGGCTGTGACTGGGTGTGTGTGAAATGCTTTCCAGATCTTTCCTTGTAGGTCATGTTACAGACCCCAGAAAATAGGAGCTACGTGTATCAACAGTCTATTGGATGGGAACTTTTTAAAATTCCATGGTAGTCCAGCATCCTGGCGTGAATCCTACTGTTGATCCCTTCTCTTGGTTGAGTGATTTTCCTACAGGTTGATTTACCATTCACCAATTGATTAAATTAGTCTAACATATAGTTGGGACTAAAGGACAGGCTTCAGGTCAGCATTTCTAAAGGTACTCTTGTATAATAATAATAAATAATAATAAAATTTATTTTTATCCCGCCCCTCTGCGTAACGCAACCGGGGTGGCTTATATTAAAATATACATTCCATTATCCATCCATCCCTTTTTTATCTACATGTATCAGATGGCCCAAATAAACCCCAAGAAAACAGAAACAAACCCTCCCAACCAACCTCTGTCCTCTGAACTGGGTTAATGTAGAGGAATTGTTTAAACCAAACCAAAAGTGTTAGCTTTTATGTGTATATCTGTACTTGTCTAGAAAACTAGAGTCTAATTATACGGAATTTCTCGAGTCTTATTTCTCTACATTGGAAATGTCTAGGATTAATCTATAACAAACAGTTTAGCCAGTGGCATCTGGCAGTATCTGTATGAGCAAGGGCTTTTCTACACTGGTCAGAATACTCCTGGGCAGCTGGAGTATTCTGGCCCCAGAACTGCCCCAGATTCTCCCTGTCACCTCTGCACTCTGTACTGATGCTGGGTGGTTGTCTACAGATGCATCCCACTGGGCCACCCGGCACCACCACTGCTGGCTCGAGAAACAAGGTGTCCAGTGCTGATCACGTGTCTGAGTGCCTTGTTGTTGACCTCAGAGGTAGTGATTTGCAGCACTGGCACCAGTGTCAGGATGCGTGTGTAAACAGCCACCTGCATCGCTCCAGAGTGCTCCAGATTTTCCTGCAAAATTTGGAGCAAAAGGCAGTGGTGTCCCTGCACCAGGTGTCACCAGGGGCCTGGGCTTCTGGGGTAGGGCTTCTGGGGGTGGTGCACACTCCTTCCCCCCTGCTAGCCTGTCCTTTTCCTGATGAGGAAAAGGATGGGACAGGGGAGTGGTGTGCAGGGAATGGGGAGTAGCGCTGGAGCACATGTGCAATGGTGCAGGGGAGGGCCTGACCAGGTGTTATCCCTCTTCTGTGCTGTCACCTAGTGTGAACCACACCACTGCTCCCTTCCCATGACACCACTGGCAAAAGGTGAGTTTTTAAAATCTGATTTAGACAGGGATAGGGCAGATTTGTTATGGAACTCAGAAAGACAGTCCACATGCAAATTGGGGACTTAACTCTGGAGCTTATCCCACACTGCTCTCAAAAGTGGCAAGAAAGCGATATGAGCATCATTCCAGTACTATAGCGCTAGTATAAATATGGCGCTAGCACTATAATAGCGCTATGGATCAGCTCGCGCTATTGCAATGCCCGCTGAAACCGACATTCAAAAGAATGCGAATGATGCTGCATTCCGAGCGGTTTCTTGCTGGATTCTGAGCGACGTCGTGTAATCACACGGAAAAATATAGCGCTATAGCGCCTGATTCTTAGCGGATTCTGAGCGACGTCGTGTAATCACGCGGGAATGTATAGCACTATAGCGCCTGATTCTTAGTGGATTCTTGCTGCTTTTGGCCCCGTGTGATAAGGTCCTCTGTGTCACGTAGACAAGTTGTGTTGAAGGCAGGGAGGGGGACCAGTGTAATTGGCCTATGTATACATGACCTGGGTCAAGAAATCTGCTCCAGGTCTTGCTGTTGCTGTGTGCCTGTAAGTCATTCCTGACTTATGACCACCCGAAGGGGTTTTTCTTGGCATGACTTGCTCAGAGGGGTTTTTCCATTGCCTTCCCTTGAGACAGTGAGCCTGTGACTTGCCCAAGGACACCTGGTGGGTTTTGTGGCCAAGCTGGGAATTGAACCCAGGTCTCCAGAGTCGTAGTCCAGCACTCAAACCACTATGCTCCACTGGTTCTATAAACTTTAAAGGAGCTATCCAAAGCGATGAACCTTACCCATAAAATTGGTTCAGGACCTTCATTATTTCCATTATTTTTGTGGTGGTGATTGTGATTGTTATTATACCACCTTTCTCCAAAACTGGAACTCAAAGTGGCCTAAAATTTAGGCTAAAACCCATAGAAGATTCACAGTTTGCTATAATTCATTTCAGTGGGAAAGATCTGAGCACATATTTAAATTCATTTGTAATGCAGACTTCTTAGTTTGAATCTCACTGTTTAAACTGAAATCTTATGTCTACTTATCCTGAAGAAAGTCCCCCTAAGCTATAACTCCCAGACCAAAGAAGAGTTGTATTATACCTAAAATCTTGATTACTACTTTGGACAAGTTTAATATTATGCTACTGTTTTCTTTGGGTTTTCTTTTTGCTTTTTCCAACAGGCCAGCATGGCAACCTGCACATACTGTACGCAGCAGGACTTGTTTCTGAGTAATTGTGCATAGGACTGGGAGGCATGCCACAACTCCAGCTCTCAAAAGTAAATTCCTCAGGGGCGGGGACCGCTTTTGCGCCACCTTACAAAGCAACATACTAGATGCAGCAGCAGCCACTTACTTTGGTGTACATTGCAACCTCACCCATTTAAACAAGACATAATTTGAATTAGCATTCTCCATTGGTAATTATACCACAAATACGTAAGCAGCATCCAGTACCTACTGTCTAAGGATAGCCTCAATAATAATAATGTTGTTGTGTGTCATCAAATAATTTCTGTATTACAGTAACCCTAAGGCGACTTTATTATGGGGTTTTTACTTAGCAAAATTTGTTCAAAGGGGGTTTGCCTTTGCCTCCCTCTGCGGCTGAGAGAGTGAGACATGCCCAAGATCACCCAGTGAGTTTTCGTGGCCAAGTGGGGATTTGAACCTTACTCCCCCAGGGTCCTAGTCCAAATGCTCAAACCAGTGCACCATGCTCGCTCTACTAATAATAACAATAATAAAGAATAGTACTAACTTCCATCACCACCACTACTACTATTATTGCTACAAGCATTATTGACAGAGTTCTAGACCATCCGTGATTTTGATTCTGTCCAAGAACCTAGGAATCTGTGACATTGTTGTTCTTGTGTGCTTTCAAGTTGTTTCCAACCTATGGCGATCCTATTACAGGGTTTTCTGGAGCTGAGAGTGTGTGACTTGCTCAAGGTCACCCAGGTGGTTTCCATGGCTGAGCTGGGTTTGAACCCTGGTCTCTATAGTTGTAGCCCAATGCTCAAACCACTATACCATGCTGGCTCAATCAGTGTATGGTTTGATAATGTTGCAAGTTGCAAGCTGTAATGTTAAATGTTAGTAATAGTCATATTTTTATTCTTAATAATCATAATAATAATTGTTACCTTTACTTTCAGTCTCCAGGTAGACTGTGGTTCAGATTGTGTCTGAGGAATCAGTGTGGTATCATTGGATAAATTAACATGTTCCAACCAGTAGTAATTACTACTATTACTATTGCCAAGACAGAAAAAGGGAGGGTGAAAAAAATAAATCTAGAAGCACTTTTAAGAGTAGCTGATCTATGTTTTCGCATGAGCTTTCATGGTTATGAATCCACTACTTCAGATGCACTGAGGATGATTATTATTATTAAAAAAGAAAAGGTGAAGGTGAAAAAATAAACCCAGTGGTACCATTAAGATGAACTGGTTTATATTGCAACACAAGCTTTCGTAAATATCAATCCACTTCCTTGGGTGCTCTGAATAACAAGTTGTTACTACTATTATTGTCAAGAAGGAAAATGGGAGGGAGAAAATAAATAAATCTAGTAGCACCTTTAAGAGTAGCTGAACTATATTTTTGCAGGAGCTTTTGTGGATATGAATCCACTACTTAACATGCATGGATGATGATGATGATTATGATGATGATTAGAAAGGAGAAAGGAGAAAAAAAGGGAGTGAGGAAATAAATCCAGTGGTACCATTTAGACAAACTGGTTTATATTGTAGTATGAGCTTTCATGGGTATCAATCCACTTCCTCAGATGCACTAACAACAACAATACAACCCTTCATACATCAGAGCTGTAGCCTTGCCTTCAAGTTTTAATCAGTTATTATTATTGTTATTAGTAGTTGTTTCTTTTGTTGTTGTTATTGGAAACATATCCAGGGGTAGCAGTGTGGGCCATATAGCAAAGTACAGTAACATCCCAAATCCACAAAGCAGTGACACCTTTATGGGGACAACCAAAATGCACAAAATACATGCTGCAAGCTTTTGAAGCTCCACTGGCTTCTTCATCAGGCCTGATGAAGAAGCCAGTAGAGCTTCAAAAGCTTGCAACATATATTTTGTGCATTTTGGTTGTCCTAGCCAAGTGATACATATAGGGGGATAACCAAAACACATAAAATACATTGGCAAGTTTTCAAAGTTCCACCAGTTTCTTCATCAGGCCTTTGCCTGCATCAGACCCTTGCATTTGCCTGAAGCCAGTGGTGCTTTGAAAGCTTGTCACATGTATTTTGAGCATGTCGGTTGGCCCACCCAAAATTGACCCAATGATGCCTGTATAAGGCCAACCAAAATGCCCAAAACACATGTGGCAAGCTTTCGAAGCCTCACCAGCTGTTTCATCAGGTCTTTGCCTTCATCTGGCCTTTGCATTTGTCTGACGAAGAAGCCATTAGAGCTTTGAAAGCTTGCCACATGTATTTTGAGCATTTTGTTTGGCCCACCCAAAATTGTCT